TTTTTCAGATTGGAATAAATAGACAAGAATATGAAAATTTAATATAACACGAAAAACATCGAACTTCTCATATAATCACATAAGAACAATTAAGACATATTTATATGTTTTGAAACAAATTACTACGCCCAGAGGCTGATCATATGTCACCTCTGTGACTAGTATCACCTACTATATGTGGTATAAATATGAGATGTGACTGTCGATGTATAAAGAAAAAAATCGGAAAACTTCTGTGTTGCGTTACTTTTGGTCGACTCTCTATATGAGTGAACAGTATCATCCAAAGAAAAAAGGAAATAACAGTATTTTGTCATATTCTAATATATAATTCGATAGAGGAAAGACGAAACTTGTATTCGATATATAATTCAAATTAGAAGAGCTGAAAACGGAAGAAAAACTTTCCATATGAATAGGCATGCACCGAATCCGAACGTTCGAGTTCTAACATTTCCAGTCAGTTGATAAAAGGACCAGAAGTAAACCAAAAGAGGATTTTAGAGTTGGCTATGATAATTCTACGCACAATAGAATAAATTATCCAAAAACTGGCAGATTAAAGACATCCTAAAAATATGTGAACGATGTTCAGAAATACCCGAGGCCGAGCTCGAGCTTGAGTCCGAACCTAACCGAACCTTATCATTGTTCTCAAAATAGGTTATATATCCTCAGGAAGGCTTCGAGAATTATCTGATGCTGAACACTGTCTAAATTCGTTGGATAGTTGCCGAACTCAAACCTTAAGACCAAACCAGAACTTGAGTTCGAATTCGCTGCATCCCTACATATGAACATTGCATACCGTGACCACGTAGAATATTCATAATACCGAATTTTGAGTCAGTTGCGTGCAGCCAGAATGAGATCTAACGGCCTAATTCGAACGGAAATCGACTTCTGATATTCGAACTGACTAGCAGGAAAATAAGATACTTTGTGTCAGGAGAAGGCTGATTTCATTGATTAGTGAGCCCTGTTCTTTGTAAAGAATGTCATCACAGAGAAGTATTCCGCTTAGCATAATGATCTCTCATATCTTCCCTACCTCTTTCCATTGTATTTTTCTGTCCGAGAACTGTTATTCGTGACTGGATGATGTTGACGTGTGTTTGATGGCCGATTCGATGCTGAATCGGCGAGTTGAAGTTCGATCCCTTCCATTAGCGATGAATTCTGTGGTCTCTTTTCATTTAGAATATATTCGACGACGTTGAAATCGGCGAAAAATATCGTCGACAAAAACAAAAATTCCGCCAAAAGGAATATTAGTTTTCGGTTGGTAGTTGAGTTTATTCGTATAGCTGATGTTGGTTTACATACCATTCACTGAAATATTTTTTTTGCTTTTTTGCCTGGTTTCATGTTTTTTTATCCTTGGTTTCTAAGCAAAACGAAGCAGAACCAATAAATGCTGAATTAGTTGATTTACATAGCGTAAATCACTTATGAATTCAATAGTTGGGTGCATTAATCCGATAACGAATCCCATCGAGTCTTATGGGATTCAAGTAGCCGACAAAATCCGATGGGTGTGGGTGTGGGTGTGGGGTGTGGGTGTGGGTGTGGGTGGGGTGTGGGTGTGGGTGTGGGGTGTGGGGTGTGGGTGTGGGTGGGTGTGGGTGTGGGTGTGGGTGTGGGTATCGGTTGTTAATGACATACACCCTCACTCACAGCCACACCCCACACCCACACCCATCCCACCCCACATCCACACACCCACCCTCACTTTTTAAAATTATTAGTTTGGCAGTGAGACCTTTATTTTGACCCGAATATGTCCAATTTCTCCAACTTACAATACAGACCCCTTCATCGCTAGAATAACTAAGTCTGAGTAGTTTATAACAAAATGAAAAGAAAAGTGATTTATTCTCAGCGCTTCATTGGATTATAGAGACAATGAGCACCTTGCAATAAACTGGCTTTTCGTATATGTAAATGGCTTGCTTATTTCTTTCTGCTCATTTTATTTTTTCATAGTATGAAAGAATAGTTAGATCAAACAATATATCTTACTTCACCTATCGTACATTCAATAACAGACCGGTTTGGGCGTGGATATTCATGTCCACTTCGTCCATACGCACACCCACACCCACACTGTTGTTTATGAGGGCTACGTGATCAGTAAATATGATGCTACGTGTTCATAATTACTCCGTTGAGAATTACTGCTTGTGGCATCGCATAACTAGTCAATCATCGTTCAACTGTATGAGGAGCAACTATAACGGCTTCACTGAGCTTCTACTTTAGATAGTGCTGTGTAATAGGAAGATTTCCGTCTGCATTTTGACTTTGTGAAGCATCCTTTGACGAATTACGCCCTCACCTTCACTTTGTGAGGTATGCAGTGAAAATTTCCAACCTCATGTTCACTTTGTGAAATATCTTGTAAAAATTTTCGCTCTCATCCTCACCCTTCGTTCTTTTATGGTAGAGAAGTACACATTTTTTCCTTGTTGTAGAAATCGCAAACTCACTTTAAATTATAAAAATCACTTAAATTCATGTCAAGGGTGGGTGTGTGAGGGTGTGGACGTGGGGTGTGGATGTAGGTGTGGGTGAATTATATTTTATCCACACCCACATCCACTCACGCCCACACCCACTCAGATCCACACCCAAATCGTTGAATACCTCTTACAATACTTTTGGTATCCGTAAAAACCGATTTTCTCAACACAGGAAAGGAAAGGAAAAAAAGTGCTCTCTAACTGCGTAAGTGCTGGTATGATGAGTCGAATGAGATAAAATATTTGTCTTTATCATTTACGTAGAAAGACTTGATTCGTTTACAAAATCGACCTCTACGTGGTGCACTTGATGAGATTCGACGCGCCACCACCAATACAGTTTTGGATCTAAAGTCGATGCAAAGACTTTTCTAGACTCAGTTTTTGATGCTGAATCTGAAAAAATTATTTTCAGAAGGAAAAAGAAAGAATAAAATAGAAAATTTTGCAGATTTCGCGAAAGGATGCATTTTTTTCGAAAAACGACACCTCTCGAGTATTTCGTATTTTTCGACCGGAAAGAAGCTTTTGCTAAGGCTAAAAAGTAGATATTCGTGATCAGCAGCTAAAAATCTATCAAATGATGTAAAAAAAGGCAAACAAAAATTTTTACTCGAAATTCGCTTTGCCGGCACCTTACATTTTATTGCTGTTTTAGCATGTTCTTGCATTGGCCAACTCGGTTCAATATACCATTTTGGTTCAATTAATTTCAGAACTTGTAATTCTTTGGTTTGTTTATCCAATTCTTCATCACAATCAGAACAATTACATTCATATCGAGCTGAATCTTCTAATTGCAAAAATCTTATGCGTAAATGATTTCTTTTAACATATTCTAAACGTTTATTTCGATTCCTTTTAAATATATCCGGTGCATCATTCAATGATGCATTTAATAATAAACGTGATATTGGGGTACGTCTACCAGTTTTAAAATCGACGTGCCATAATTTTGATGCTTTCGTATGGTGATTTGGATTAAGTAATTCACAAAGAATTTCAACACGATGACCTATTACAAACTATTTTTCATCAGGAATAAATATTAATTTTAATGTTGGTTTAAGTAATTGAATTGAAGGAATAAGAATAGTTAGAAAGATAATTGGTATAGAAAACATTTTTTTAGTTTTGATCTACGATAAACAATGTTGATTTACGTTTCATTAATCTTACCGTTTACTTATATAAAAAAGCAACAGAAAATCTTCGTTGACAGAAAAGGGCATACAAACATATGTGCATGCATACACGTATACCTGAGAGATAGTAATGTAAAGCATTTATATGTTAATTTGAGGTTGGATAACTCCTCACTAAAGTCAGAAAGAGAGGAAAGAATTTATCTATAGTTTTCACTTCATCGATTGACATACATTTGGTAGAAAGAAAAAACGCCGAAAGTAAAACATGTCGAAAGATAAACTATCGAAAGAGCTATGAATGCAGCTTTAGCATATCCTTTCATCAATAGCATGTGAATAATCTGCAGCAACATCGCTCTCTCTCCCTTTATGAAAGTCTTTTTTTCATACTTTGTGAACACTGGATTTTCAAGGAGATTATTTCTCAAAAACTGATCGACAGGTACATCTGTCTGAATATACATGTGAATGAAACTAAATTCCCGATGGACGATCATGATTAGGAATTGCACTTTAGCTTTGCTGAAACAAATAAAGTAAGTTCTTAACTTTACTTTATAGGATAAAGTACAATTAGTGCACTTTACTTTTTGAGTAAAGTAAAATGTAGTGGAGTAAAATATCGTAATTTAAATTTTTGTCGCTTTTTTAATTCCACATCATGCTCATCCGTTAATAACGCAATACACAATACATCAAAGTTTTTTCAATATTGTTTTGTCATAAAATCAATGAAAAATAAAGTAAACTTGAAAAATGTCAGTTTTTTATTAATACATAAAATATGTTGTCTGTCAATTTTACTTTACTTGGTAGAGTCTGATACATTTTACCTTACTTTATTTTTCCAAAGTAAAATAAAGATCAAATATCATATTCAACTCACGATTTTATGGTTTAATGATGACGAAAATTGCCATTTTACTTCTCTTTCCTTTCTCTCTAGTATTGCCTCTTGTTACAAAATGATGATGTATAAAGGATCAGATTTCAAAAAAACAATAAAATTGCCGAATAAAAGTGTATACATTAGATAAGAGAATATTTTTGCAGTAGCTGTAAATACAGGATGGCCTAAAAGTGACAGGACATAAAAGGTGTCCTATAATAACTGATGATAAATTGTTAATGACGTTTCTTTTTAACGAGTACGCTATTGTAATACTATTGATCATGGGAATGTTTTCGATACTACATAATGCCATATGATTTGTTTTTTTCTACTATGAAATGAGTGAGGAAGTTTTTGTTATTCTTTCTAAAATACATGATTCGGTAATAAAACATTATACTAATCTAATAATTAACTACGTAGAAGACCTTGAAAAATAAAATGATAATAGATAGTGAGAAAAGATTGTTTCTCGAACACAATATATTTCCTATTTTTCTATCTTCAACGGGAGAGAAAAATGAAGTCCAATGATATTTGTCCATGTGAGTGTGGGGCGTAGATATGATGTGTACAGCCCGTCGGGTAGGATCCAGCTCTGAAGAAAACTTTGATGCATACAATGTGTTGTGAATTTTTTCAAAATGAAGCAATCAATTTTAGTTCAGTTAAAGAAATTCAAGTATGACATTATTTATATGTTTATTCTTATAGTCAAATTCAACTGTCTGAAGCTATAAATATAATCATGGAATTCAAAGTAGGTTGATTTGTTTGAGAAACAGTAAAAGATACATTGTTAGTCAGTGATATTTTTGTTTTCTTTATCAAATTCTTTCTCTGCGAGCTCTTTTCTCTATTCTTAAAAAGACAAAATATTTGAAGAGAGCACTTCCACCACAATAATTGAACACGATGTCAATATCAACTGTATAAAATTTTTATAAAGTCTAATATGTCAATGCTCAGCTCTTTTGAAATCAACAGGATCCACTAAATAGTTCTTCGATGAGCGAGGTTCACTGGTTATCAAAGCTAAAAAATTATATCAACACAAGATCGTCGAAATTTCATCAACAATCTACTTTCATTTATTCCAAGAGAATTGATCATTCAATATCAACTGAGTTAGTTTAGCTGAAAATGTCACCATCCACTTATAATTTTTTTAATCATTCGACCTATGAAAAGAAAATTTTGAATTCTTGACCAATGGATATTAATTTGTCAGATTCCTTTCGAAATATTTTTGTTTATATTGTCATCAATTTGTTGAATGTTTCTTTTTTGAAAGGATACCTTGAGTATTGATGATATTCTAAGTAATCGTCGTTAAGAAATGTTATAAATAAAAATTCGATCATCTTGGACAAGACATGTTTGTTTCTCTATTTTCTCTTTTGTGTCTCACTTCGATGGTTATAGTGAATGATGCCAATGAACAATTTAAGGTCAACATAGATATATCAGTCTATTGATATTGATATAAATCGATGCGTTAGAAAGTTGATTATTCGATTAATCATGAATGAACGTCGATCACATCTTCAAGATTTACCGGTGGAACTTTTTCATCATATTTTCGAATATCTTGCTCCTCATGATCTTCTTAATGCTTTCAAAAAACTTAATCGACGATTTGACATTATGCTTACTCAACAGCCATTATGTTTACCAAATAATCGACAAATGAGTATTCATTTATATCTTCATTATTTAAAGAAAATTGTTAGTAAACATGCATCACAAATTGTTTATCTTCATTTATCTGAACGAAATGCACCACATGCAATGAACTATTTTCTATCTGAAATACGATTAAATAATCTCGTCTGGTCAACATTGAAAGCAGTGACTATTGAAGATATTCCACGTCATGTTCTTGAAATATTTCTCTATGATTGTTCATTCTTATCTAAAATTCATTCATTATCACTCGATGTTGGTTATCAACGATTTCATTGTGATGAATATAATGATTTGGTATTGTTATTCCAATTCTCAACTGCTTACCTCAATTACATTCGCTCTATTTACGAATTGTTAGTAATGTTGGCAAGAATTATACAACAATATTTAGTGAAAATTGTCCTCCGATGTCTATTCATCGAAATTTACAAAGTCTTTCAATCGTTGAATGTTCAAGAGAATTATTGATTGAACTATTAAATAATGGTCATCTACCACAGTTACAACATCTACGTGTTGCTTTTCCAATGTAAGTGATCGCCGGTTAACGAAGATAATCAACTATATATCTGGGTTTTTTTATGATTTAGGACTTATGCCAATATCGAGAAAGAGTTGCCACGTCCAATTCCATTGAAACAAGCCTTTGTACCTGAACTACGTCATGTTAATATAAAAATTTTTGGAGGTGTAGCTTGGGTTTTAACTTTTTTCGAAGATCTTCAACGATATAGTCAACTCGATCAATTAATTATATCAGGTTATGAAAGATTTGCTGATAATAGTCATTTTCCACGAGTAACATCATTACGACAATGGTTAACATTGACAAAATCGAATATATTTACATTTCAATTGAATTCAAATACAATTTATGCTTTCACTAATAATGAAATTCAAGAAGAAATCTTTGCTGAATATCGACAAGCAACTGGTGAAGAATCTGCAGCCAAATATGGACATATAAATCTTTCGTATCCAACAATGTCATTTTCAGATCCACTGGAGACAAATGACAACGAATGGGAAGATCTTGATAGTAGTAATGATTCAACAAAGAGTTTCAAATGTGTTCAAGATCCACCAGTCGACGATCATGTTGAAGAAGTAAGTTGGATAAACTAGAAAACGAACTTCAAACCACTATCCATGTCTTCGTAGATGAATATTTTTGAATTGGATTATGTCGAAGACGAACGATTTGTACAATTAGAAGCAATGCCTTGTTGGCATCATTTGAAGAAAATTAATCTTGAAGGCGATTGTTCAGATGATAAGTAAGTATCATACAGAGGTTTATTGTTGGTTAATTTTCAAATATATAATCTAGTGGTGTTGTTGGCGAAAATATTTCTCATTTACTTCATATTGCTCAACGATCACCCTATTTACGTGAACTACATATCGAATCAGATCTAGATTATGGTCGTGTTCTTTCATCGAATAAACAATTAGGAATATTACTTAGCCGACAACTTGAAATTTTGCAGTTTACTGCTGAACAAGCTAATAGTTCATTTGGTGATCTTGTTTGCATTATTGATAAGTTATTTAGTTATGGTCAATCACCATGTCGTTTGCAACAATTAATCTTAACTGTTGATGGACATCCAGATTCTTGGCTTTCTATTCGTCATTTGAACCGTTGGTTAGAAAAAATGTTCAAACGTTTTCCATCACTTATTCGTTTCACTCTAACTTGTAAATATATAGAAGCTTGTCAAAATAGTGTACAGAATTTTTCGATATTAGCTCCTGAATGGTATGTCGATTCATTACTCTCTGGAAAGAAAGGGCTGTGTTTATGTCAATATCGATATAAACCACATTCAATTGAAATTTGGTTGTAAATATTTTTCTTTTTTAGAAATAAAAATGAAAAATTTCTAAATTCTTGAACTTCATATATATTATCTACTGATTTGTTTGACTGGTTAATGATAGCTGTATTCTACCTTCAGAACACATCGAAATACGAATTCTCAATAGCAAAATCTTGGTTTAACTTTTTTTTGTCATAGATCATTCTAGATGAATTTGTGCATGTATCAGTGATACTTGACATGTCAACATCAGTCCATTTCATCTTTCGAATGAAATGAAAAGAATAACTGTAGAAATGTAGAAATGATCACTCTGTTTTCTTGCGCACGCGAGTGATTTATTTATTCTTAAAGTACTAAATGAGTTCATCGTCACATTTTCATTGTCTGAATGTGAACCATCATAATCTGTTTCTATAGTTGAAAAACATATATGATAGTTTTTATTTTCTACTTACATGACTAAAAAAAACCATACTGATTAAATCCAAATTTTAATGTACAAATTTGTGTATTCAAAAACAAAAAAAATACAATTATTCAAGAATAAATTGAGATATACTTACAAATGAAAAGGACTTCCAACTAAAATTTATTTTGTTTTTCGTTCCAAATATAATCAATCGATTTACATATCGAATTGACAAAAACAAAATCAAACATAAGACTACAACGAATATTTTCATTTGCTGTTTTGCCATACTCATCATTTTCTTTCAAATTGATTAAAAAGAAAACGCTTTTAATTTTCTTTCTCAAACAACTGTTCATAAATGCAGAATTATGTTAGGAGATATTATGTATCTTCTAGTTAATAGTACTTGTTCATACAGATACTCATCATAGACTGCAGATAAACAAGCAAAAAGTGTTAGATAATTTGACTCTTTGTAGTCGTCTCATAAAACAATTATTTAATAAATATAAGCCTAGAACAGCTTTCACTCATCTGAACAAGATTGTACATATCTTGAAATTCTCAAAATATTCTGATCTATGTACAATTATATTGATAAGTCCATCTAAAATATTAAAAGCTAAGATTATTATTATATGTGATCATAGATGGTCACCTGGTTTCCAGAAAACATTCTCGATGAAACGAATGATGTCAACATTGTGTAGTTTTCTTGTTAGGAATAATGATCTTCTATGAAAATCTAAACACTTTGTTCTGCCTTTATTTTATATAATATGAAGGAAAACTTAACAATGAATTACAGCTCTTCAGATAGGGGAATATCAACTAATCCATTTGTCGCTTTATACTTTAGCAAAAAAAAATCTGAAATATAGTTTTTGTGTGTCAAACAAGGAGACTGAGAGAAATGGTTAAGTGAACACGAGAAGAAAGCATACGTATCATATTTTGATTCTTCTTTCCCTCGTTGGTTGTTTTATTTTGATGGATTCAACTATCGTTATTAACAGTTTGCATTAAAGATAAAAATCAACGCAGTTAAAATAAGACAACATGTATCGAATAGAAATCATCTTATTTCTACTCAAGATCACATGAAATGTTCCATATTTTATGTATTATATTATACTGCATGATTTGTAATCATGCATGAAAGTGACTGATAACAATGCGAAGATAATTCAATGATGTTTTGAATGATTAGAGCGTGATTTATATTTTGATGTCATTCTAGTTATCTGTGATAAAATATGACTTTCATTTTTCAATAGTTGCTCATCGAAAAATATATTTGTTTTAAAGAATGTATTTAACGATCTCGAAGAATACTAAGTAGGCAAAGTTTCGAAAATGAAATTTTTGTGTATTCAGATTTTTCGGAAAAAAATGTAAGTCAATATTTTGAAAAACTGAATCGTCTATTACACTCAGAATTTTGATGCTCATTTCAAAAAGAATAAAATAAAATAAAAAACGAGTTAGTTATTTTAGGAAACCGATCGCGGAAGCTTTCAGCAGTTCATTTCCGATTGATACTCGAAATCAACATGGTTGATTACATAAAAATTGGATGATTTTTATCTCAAACGCAAATTATCAGTTCATATATATTCCTCTTAAGTAAAAGTGTACATAATAAATGAGCTGTTGTACAATGAAAACTTCTTCAGTAAAAATGCCGATTATTGTTGATTGCTTCTCGTTATTCATATTATAGTTATTTCAGACATATTGAAGTATCCTATATACATCACGGATGTTCGCCTCGAGATGAATTTATCTTTGAAATTTGGAATTTAATAATCAATTCAAATTGATTCAAACCAACGTAATTGGCTATTATTTATTAATCTGATTCTTAATCGATTTTAACCCTATTTTTAAATGTATATGAAAAGTAGAAAAAAAAAATGAAAATTTGACGTGAAAACTCGAGATATTGGTGTATGATTCATTTTTGAGATGAAAATCGATTAATGTCCAAAAATTCTATTATAATCAATTGAGAAAGATTATAATTAACGAACAAAATTCGATTTAAATTGATTATAATTTTGATAGCGTTTCATAATAATCGAATTTACTATCTAAATTATATCTATAGGATTTGCGAATTTTAATCACTGCATTTTTTTTCATTGAGTGAATCATATCTTAAAGTCTACAGAGCAATATTCAATCTATTCGTGATATTTTCATTAAAAATTTGTAATGTATCATTGATTTCGAGAATGTTACTCATAGTACTTCCAAATATAAAAACTGTTTACTGCAAGATAACTAACAATGCGCAATTATTCTTGAAAAATAAAAAAAAAAGAAAGAAAAATTCAATTCTTGCAAAAAGTGATACACAAGAACGTCTATTTTTACCTTTCTTTCTGCGTTCGTCTCCTCAAACTAAAGTGTCAGGAGGTGAAAGAAAAAAAAAGATGCGCCTGAATGAATATGTATGATGAAAGAATGACAAGAAACACGTGTATAACATTATATTTCATTCTTTCTTTGTTTTTGGTTAAAAAGAAAGAAACGTACAGTAAAGTTTTTCGATTAAAAATTTTGTGTGTGTATAAGTAATACAAGTGAAAACAATGACTTCGTATTTTATGAAAACAATGGTTGGAAATGAATTTGATAAAGTTATAAAAGATATGAAAGGTATTTATTAATCTCTAGTCATCATTATATATTTCTGTTGTTTTTGTTAGAGATAACTATCGGTGAAAGTGACGATAACAAAAAGGAAGATATTGGCATTTCTGGTGAAGAGCTGATTGTAAGTGTAATATATTTAGTTTTTAAAAATGAAGGTGCACTTTAGGATGTTTCAAACCTTATTTCGTTATTATTAGGCTGAACAAAAGAGACAAGCAGCTATGGAAAAAGAACGAAAAGAAAGACAAGCTAAGGTACAAAAAGAACGTGAAGAAGCAAGACAGAAAATTCGTGATAAAGTGTGTAGTGTAGAAGTTTCTGGCAGTGCATTCTTCTTCTAAGAAACTTTTTGTTCTTTGTGTATTTTTATAGTATAATATCAAGAAGAAAGATGAGGTTGTCACTTCAGCTCATGGAAAAACGACGACAACAACGACATTGAATGAAAACAAAGCAAGAGAAGTACATCATGCATCAAATGCAGAAGATCAGGGTAAATCGTTCGGGAGAATGAGAGAATGCGCACTGTTTTCATAACAAAGCTGTTCACAGTACTCTTTTTTGCCTTTCTCTGTATCAGGCATAAATTAGCGCCCTATCCTGTCATGCCGGCTAAAGATATACTTTTTACTTTGTAAAAATCTGAGCTAAATTTGCATAAAACTGGTTTTCTTGCCCTATCCTGCATTCCGAACAGTTCTGTTTAGAGTTAAACGACTATTTTTTTTTGCTTCTCTATTTTCTCTTCTTTTTTTAATTAGGTTTCGATCCAATGAAAATGACGACAAATGTGTTTGATAATTTAAAGAAAAAATTCGGATGGAAATGACAGTTTTTGGTTAATTGTATGACACACAGCCTTACATTTTTTTTATAAGCGTGATTTTTATTTGCTCGCATCTTCTTTTTTTATGTTCAGCTTTTATCAATTTTCTGTATTCTGTTCTTCGTTCGATCGGCTCTTTTCGCTATTCATTTTTAATCTGTAGAATCTTACGTGTAGTTTTTTGGGGATTTATTTCTGTTTAAATCTTTTAAAATGTATGCGAAAGATTGATACACAGAAAACTGAATCGTATTTCGTGTACTAATCATCTAAACAAAAGAATTATCCTCAGACTCATTATATTTCAGCTTTTCTGACCTTTATTTTCATTGCAAAAGGCCGAAATCCGGGCTAACTTTGTACAATGCCATTAGCGGATATATACGAGGATTGAATGACTCAGTCGAATTCTTTTCTAAAATGTTCGCGTGAGGATAGTTTTTTCCAGCATTACTTCTGGTGAGCTTCAATAATATGTTTCGCTGAATCCAACCCTCTTTATCCTATGTCTAGATCCTTCACTGTACGACTAACTCGTTCAAGTCACATTTCTTAGTAGAGCAACTCTTATGACTGCTCTAATGCAGTATAAGATGCCCTTTACAAAAACCCACACCCTATATTAATTTCCGAATCAGTGCTAATCTACCATCTCTAAATCGAATTAATAGACCAAAAGCGGTATTCGGCCAATGTTCCAAAATACTGGTATAAACTTCATAAATTCACTCAATATGTCATATTGATTAATTCATATCTTTAAATGTGACTTACTGCAATTAATCAGATCATCATTTACGATGATATTCATTTAAAATAAAGACCAACATAAATGTGGCAAGAGTGACAATTATTGGTTTTCACTTTTTCTTTTTTTATCATCACTCTCATTCATGAAGCTAGCAGTCAGACTGCTATCTTTGTGCATTTCCTAACGAGTTCTCTTACAATTATTCGCTTGGAAAGGATTTATCACAAGCAAGTGTTCTGCATGATCAAATAAACTGGTAAAAACTCGTAGCTATAGTTGACTAAAAATGATAACAACGAAAGATGATAGTGACTGATTAGGTCAACGTATGGTGCAATACCCTTGACCTCGATAAACGGTCAGTATCTGATGATTCCTCAATGTCTGATGAAGATCAAGAATGAAGAAGTTCATTTTAATCAAAATCTCTGTTTTGTGTATGTAATGCTCGATTGAACATTGAATGAGCGAAACATTTACGTATATATCACCAAATGAACAACGATTTGCTATAGTTTTGCTGGAATTCTTCGACCATAGATCATTCTGCATTGTTGTTGGCAAATTGAATTCGACACAAGTCGACCAACTCTTGTTTGGCTCGTTCAAGAGCAGCATTGTCATATTCGATCCTGAGTAAAATTTCTTTGAGTAATTGTGAGTACCTGAATGATACATCGAGATTATTCGAAATTGTCGATATAAAATACACAGATTGAGCCGAGTTTAATATTATGTTCACCTTATGGCAACAATTGATGACCCAACAAGTCGAAAACAATCAAAAAAATCTTTTCTTCTTGAACCTCGTTGGATATAAAATCGATGTATTTGTCGTATATGTCAAACATTGATCGTATTGACAATGCTAAGAAGTATTTTGATCGATAGTTGAATACCATCATTGATTGTTTTATTACTACAAAGATTCGCATCTACCCAAACCACAATAAAGTTTTCAATTAGATCCACTACATCTTTTTGATTTATCATGCTGCATTTACACACGTCAAGTATGTTGCATTTCGGCACTTGTGATATCGATCGATCGATAGAAAAGAAAGAACAGAAGTAATTTCTCACTTGGCTGCGCTCATCACACATCCTGAAGTAATCAATAAGAGACTGGTGTTTAAAGGAAGAAAAAAGCTGAGTGAACATGAACGTCGTTGAAAGCATTGTCTATGGCTATCAGAGAAGTTTGATCAAAGCACATGATAAATTCGATAGTTGTGTGAATGTTCATCAGTAGATTCGTATTCGAAAACTGAAATTAATTGAAATCACTTTCTAAAATGAACATAATATATTTCTTAAAAAGTCGTTTCAGACCTTTTTTACAATTCCATTATCACTCTTTTTGACTTGAAAATATCTAAACGCAATTTTGCAATGACATCATTTGATGTTCCGTAATCGATTGCCAACAATGAGTCGAATGTTCAGTAATTTGTTTGCGAATATCTTATTTTATTACATCAAGTCTTCTCGCTAATTCGTCCGTTGAACTTTTGCTTGAATTCTGTTTGATTATGTGTATATGTGGGAGGCAAAATTGAAATTTGGTCAAATTTAAAATTTGTCCGAACAAAACTAAAATTCGAAATATCGTCGGACAATTTTAAATTTCACCAAATTTCAATTTTGTCCCTAACATATATTTTCTTCTTCACAACAGACACCAGTAGTCATATCATATATGTTTGGTATGAAGTCTGAATTGACATGTATCAACCTATTTTTTCAAAATCGAAGGGACTGATAAACATGACACTCATGCATCCTAAGGTCATACTAAGTGTCACGAACGATATGTTGAAAATGAGGATCAGCTTGGGCTTACAGTATGTTCACGGAAACAACTGTTAACATTAATTTAAGAGCCATTTCACTTAAGCCATGACCTATGCGGCTCAATCGATTTTTTCGAATTTTGGTTCCACACACATATTTCAAAAGTGTACCAAATAGTGAGTTTGTTTCCCACTAGGCGTACTTCGATAGCTCGAATCATCATTGAGAGGGTGTGGGTGTGGGTGGTGTGTAGGTGTGTGTGGGTGTTGTTGAGGGTGTGGATTGGGTGTGGGTGCTAGTAACAATCCAAACCCATCCACATTCACAATGCACACGCACACCCACATGCACACCCACACCCACACCCAAAATTCCATAAGAAAGTGTCTTTTTAAACAAAAGATGAAGTGTAATAATCTTGAAAAAGATACGTTCAACCAATAGAATGTTTTTTAAAAGTCAGCCTCCAATATGAAAGCAAAAAACCATAGCAGCAGATTTCATTATAAAATTTCATGGAAAGTGTATATGTTTTTAAAAAAATAATACTTTACTTCTCAAATATTTGATTGTATTTTATTCTTAGGGTGTGGATGTGGTTGTCATTGTTGATGAAAGAACAACTACATTCGCACTTAATACTGTTTTTTTTTTCACCACAAATTGAGGTAATTGTACTCTATCTGAATTTTTTCGGTATACTTGCTTGTTTATCCTTTTAGAACATCAAACATGTGATAAAGTTTTTGAAATCGCTAGGCCAAAAAAAAATAATTTCAGAATCAATAAATGCGACTCCGCTGATAACTGACCCACAACAAAACAAGTGACAGATAAAAGTTTTTTTTTTGATTTTTTTTTCTCGATTTGCTTAGACAATTCTAACGTCTTGATATTGAATGAAGGAATTATTTCATCATTCGAGAATAATATTCATTGTGTCTGGTTTATTGAAAAGAAAACATGATATATCAAAAACAAGAAATCTTAACAAATATATAAATAAAAACAATTATTTATGTTGAGAGCTGTTCGTTTACAACAAAACTTGGTTGATGAACTTGCTCGATCCATAATTTGATTTCTTTGAACAATCCGATTAATATCGAATTATTATGAAACAAAGATTTTATAATATTATCAATGGGCTTCTTTGATTGAGTGAAGGCGATAGCTAAGTGATAAGCCAATGTACTGATACATTCGTGTGGTTTAGGCATGTTGACAGGAAGGTCAAAAAATTGATTTATCATGTAAAGAACGTTATAGAATTTCTCCGCTTCAAATAAATTAGTCTTGATATTTTCATTATCGGCATTGACTGTTGAATATTTCTTTATCTTTTGAGTCACAGTGACACGTGTGTCTGATGCAAAGTATTTTTTTAATTTCCGTTTGGAATACTTAAGAAACGGTTCAGAAATGGACGTCTGTTCTGTTCTTCGTTGAGAATCGTCTAAAATAAAAACATTAAATTAATAATTTTAGTGAAAGGTATAAAACAAAACTAACATAATGAAACTTGCACAAAGAAAATTTTCAGAAAAAAAAAGTTTGTAAAGTACTGTTCTCTCTACATTTTATTTTTTATCGAAGAAAATTTTTACCTGATTTATCACACTGTTCCAAGAGTGTATGCATAATATATGAAATAATAATGGCATTGAGTATGGATTCTTTTAATAATGTTTGCTCCTGCCCTTTGCACCACCATAATTTAAGAATATAGATCAAAGCCAAGTGATTATGATGAACACTACTTTCATTCATATCGATGGATGATTGAAGAGCCGATTCAACACAAAATAATAACCATTTCTTTCGCTTGATTTCTGACATTTTGGAAATTTCGTCTAGCGAAGGAACGTCTTTAATCTTAACTTCTTTCAGAGGTTCATATAATTGATTGTTGAACACGACTTTTTCTAT